AAAAAAAAAAAAAAAAAACCGGGCGGCAACAAGGAGTTAATATTTCAGAGGTTCTTATTTAAATCAGATCAGAATTGTCATTCATCTTTCTTTAGTTTTGTTATTGTATAGTACTGATGGACAAGGGATTTACAAATTGTATATGTGTGTGTGAAAGAACCAAAAAAAAAGCTATGAAAAGAAATGATGCTTCTAATAAAAGTGTATAAAGCAAAATAAAGCAAAGCAGAAAAAACAAGAAGAATAGAGAAACTTGAAGACGGTCTGCACATCCATCCCATATCCACTACACGCAAAAAAAGTTTATTCTGGATAGTAATCCTGTTTTGCTTTGGATCTGAATTTAACCAATAAATCCATAGTAAATAAATTCCACTTTTTATGTGGATGGGGGAGCAAGTGCATAAAAGTTATTCATTTAAAATGGAACAAGAAGTATTCAGCTTTATTTAGAGTACTAAATTCTGAAACAAACTGCAAAATTTTCCGGGTAATTGATCCCCAAATGACTGTGCACAAATGATGACATTTGTATGAAAAATGTTGTTGAAAACTTATAACTTCCTCTAAAAATCTGATTATCAGTACAGATTTGAGATTGTATCTCAGTGTGCACCAAATGTTAGCGTAGGGCAAAAAAAAAAACTTGGTAAATTCCAAAATGGAGATTTTGGTTGGCATATAAGGCCACTTTTTTTTCTCACATCTTCATCTGTGTGTCCCGAAATTTAGTATTCTAAATGTTTTTCAACAGATTTCTGCGTTTTTTCTTGTTTCTGCAAATGTTGTCACAAAATTTCATCATAATCACTTTTTTCTGAACTGTTTTGTGACTTCAAAAAGTTTGTGCCATAGATAAATGGCATTTTTGATTTTTGATTTGAAAGAAAAAATATCTTATCTGAAAGTGTTTTACTTAGGTCAAATATAAAATATTTTCTAGTTTTTTCCGTTCCTTTTCTTTCTTTTTTTTTTTTTCTTATGATCCAGACAGATAAAACTGTCATTTGAAACACTATAACAGTTTTCGTTCCTCATTCCTCTCCGACCGCATCCGCCCTGCCCCCTCTAATGTTCTCATTCAACATTAACAGTATACAGATTTACAAAAAAAAAAATAAAAAATAAAATAAAATAAACAATTAAATGAATAAAAAATGCAAAAAAAGAATTTTTTTTCTGGGTTAACAACCTTTACTCATTGGGGTCTGTTATTTCAAGAAACCTGAAAATTTTTTTTTGCTTGAAACTACAACAGCAACACAGTAGCAGCAGCGACATTCAACTTAACAATTTCGTAGTTTTTGACAACAGTTTATCATCTGTTCTATCTTTAACTGCTATTTTTATGTCCTTATAAAGAGTAATGGCAAAAAAAAAAGGAGAAAAAAAAAAGGGAAAACTGAAACATATTACAGTTTACAACTTTATTGCAATTTTTGTCAATAAAACATTTCACCTTCTTTTCGCTTTTTCTTTTCTTTCCTTACCTCAAAATGCAAAAGAGAAACAGAAGAAAAAAAGAATAA